AACAAGGATCCCAAAAACCCATCATCACCGCATTTGGTCCGATCAACGCGTCTTCCGCCCGCCGCGGCACCGCTCCGGCACCGCTCTCGCAGCGTCTCCCAGCCTTCTCCCGGTGTCTTCGAGCCTTCCGCTCCAGGGGAGACTCCCAAGGCTCTCGGACCGGGGGCGGATCCTGAGCCGGAAGGGGTGACCGGTGACTGTCCCGTCCCAAAAAGGGGATCCTTTCGAGTCGATTCTTTTTTGATGCGTCAAATTATTTGTTTGGTTGGGCTATATAAAGTTATGGTCAGGTTGTGTTCTGCTTCAACAATGGAGTTCTAGGCCCTTCCAAAAATCACGACATCCAGAGATGTGTTTGTTTCTGTTTTTGGGTACGAGTTCAAGGACTTTGGGCCGCAGAGTCTGAAGCCAAATGATGCAAACGTGCTTAATCTTGCATCCAATCATGCCTTTGGAAGGACCATTTGATATCTGGAAATGTACTTCTTGCCACTTCTATCATCCAAAAGACTTGCCCTCTGAGTATACCCAGCCGCTTGCTCCCCTGACCATCTCCCAGGAACTTTGCAGAGGTCTCCCAAATCTAACCATCATCCGGTTATCCACAATCACTACCCGCCAGAGAAAAACACGTAGTCCTCCCCAACTATACATTTGAGTTATGTTACATAATAGTATGTTAAAGTTACATCCACGATATTCCACACTACGTTGCGTATGGAGGACGACCGTTCTCCTCCCAAGAAACACCCGTCTGCCAGCTGCCACACGCCACGCGTTTCTACACCCCTCATGTGGTTTATGTGGTTTCGCCCGGTTTGCACCGCCCAGCGGCAGAGGAGAAGAATTCCACATACCTGGTGGGAGCAATGATCTCCGTACGTACGACAGGGAAGACGTATTTTGGGGGTCGGTCAGTCGGTCGGTGCCCTGGGTTATGGCACCACCGGGAGGACCAGCCGTGCTGAAAACCAGCGTTCCAATGAAACGATTGGACACTAAGAAGCTGAACCTACCGGAGTGATTGGGCAACATGACCCACAGCCATATTACCTGTATATGTTGGATGTACACTTAAAAAGAGGGGTCATCTCCATTTTTTGGGTCTGATCTTCCCCTAGCCGGCTTCGGTTCCAACTAAGCCCGCAAAAAACAGGTCAACCGGACGCGGTGCACAGGTTGGTCTGAGCGTCTCCGGCGCTTCTCCAAACGAAACGGAATCCATGGGAAGTTCCAACGAAGTTCCAACGGAAAGTAGGTAGTTATTCTCACACTAAGTATACTATATACCAATACCGTACCCAAGAGTTACAGAAGAAAGTCCGTAGATTACTATGGTCATTCTATAGTGGAATAGATCTGGTCGTGAATAGATCTGCAATAGATCATTCTATAGATGACCATGATTTTTGCCAGATCTCCAACTCAAACCACCGAGGCCGAGTCCGGCAGCTCGGTTTCCTCGAGGTCGAGGTCCTGCTTACAACGAAGCGCCAGAACTGATCATGTGAAGGTCCGATGCGCCAGAATGAGGTGATGTGACCACTCATTCTGATGTGATGTGGACGTCCAGACTATTTGTTGCTTAGTCAACTACGTAGACCCAGAAAGTATCCACCCAAACCCAGAATGAAGCGCAACACATCCACCTCCGAACCTCCCAAGGTCAGTGGGCCGTTGTTGTTCTTTGTGAGATGGCGTTGTGTTGGTTTTATGGTGTATTTCCTCGATTCCGGTGGGTCCCTGCCTTGTTTCATCCGTATCTATGCAAGAGGAACGCACACAATTAAACAATCAGGTTTGACATGGTCAGACTGTTTGTCAAGAAATAATACTTAAGCACTTGGCCAGCAATCTACACAAGCATTCTTTGTGGGCTCGTCCTCACCCAATCGGGACCATGGATGTGGATAAGGGGTACCCCCAACAAGCTCCGACTCTCGCATGCTCTAGCTCCATGGAACTGATCTCGGATTTTCAGGTTTTGGGATGACACGGCGGCCAGGGATATACACCCTGTTATTCGGAACATGAAACGGCCCCCGACAATCTTCACGGGCTTTCACCAATCGACTTGAGCCGCTCTTCCAGCCGAACCTGATGCCACCACGTCGGGTTGTAGAGGAAAATCGTCTGAAAAGATCCATGACGGTCTGGTTCCATGGTGGATCTCTTCCCAGGAGAATTAAGGAGATAGGTTGGAGGCCATCGCCATCGCTACGCTCCGGAAAGGCAATGGCCATGGCAAATTCGTCGGTTGGAGGCCATTACTAGGGGGGAAGGCTACTAGCTATAGCTAGGTGTTCAGGTTCCATGGTGGGTCTCTTCCCATCTTGTTCAGCTTCCGGTCCCCCTCCTCCCCTCCGACCGGTCCAAGCCGCTCGGCGCAACCCGAGATCGACACGCCCGGCTTCAGCACGCAGGGGGGTAAGTGCTGCGGTGGCGGCCTGGCCAAGCACCGGACCCACGGTGGCACTGTGTGGTGCAACAGTGGTTTCAAAGGCTCGATGGCACAGACCTCAAGATGTTCGTTAGATGCAACAAACATCATCTAAACCACCGACATTGGGGTCTGTGCCATTGGTCCTCTCAATCCATGTGATTTGATGTTATTTCCCTGTGAGTCTCGGTCAGAAGAAGGTGGAGCGAACAGTGAACTCAGTGAGGATCGGTGAACTGGCGTATCCTACGCTTCCAGCCTGGGAGTGAAGAGTGCCAGAATATGTGCTGGTAGTCCTTGGGCAGACATCCGCACTCACCTGCAGACAGTCCTCGACGTCTCGAAAGGCGCCCTCCCTCCGATCGGATGGTGAGAAAACCACCGCGACCGGTGATGGGCCGAAGCTGGGACCCCAAACACCTGCTTTTTCATTGCCAAAAACACATATCCAAAACAAAACACGAATCATGATGCCAGTGTTGCTCTATATTGCATCTATAGATATAATATGCCATGTTCGGGTGACGCGATCAACGCCAACCTGAGCTGGCACCTGAGTCGGGTGAACCCATATGGTGCTTCTTTGCGTTACGCCCCCCCCGCCTGGCCCAGGCCAACGCGCCGCCGGTGGCGCCGGTGTTGACCCTGAAGTGAGAAGTTGAGACCCTACAGCTACCCTGCAAACCCTCCACTTCGGGTGACAACAACGCTTGGAAAAAGGGATCTACACAATCATTCTCCACAAGCTCCTACCACCCTCTACTTGAGCCAGAATAGAATCCAAAGTACGACATGCTGGCTAGGAACGGCAAATTCTCTTACAGTAGTCAAAAATTACTTGCACTTCCTCTTCATACAGGTCATGTCAATGCAGTTCTATGCTTGAGTGACACCAGTAATATCGACCCACAGCTGAGAAATCAACATTCGTTTTGTGTCTATGTCATATCGCCCCGTAGACTAGAAATCTGTGGATCGCCCTCTAATCATCTTCGGCCTCTTTCCCTTGCTCAGCTGCACCAGCTGCTGTGGTTGTTTCAATCACACATGGGCCATGGTCACATCGCCTACTCCCTCACTGGTCTGCCGGTCCGCCGATGTCGTGGTCCATGGTGTCATAGCACTCTTCTGACCCGAAAAAGTGGGATCCAATGCGAAGTCGGTCCTTTAGACATGTCTTAGAATGATTCGCGTCGCCCAAACCCCCCCGTTCAACGTCCATCGTCGACGTCCGCTCCGCGGAGGTCCGCGGACGTGGGGTGATCTTTTTCTGGTCGTGGAGCGTCGGAGGGTGAAAGCGACGGCCGTCCATATTGAGACCTGGCAAAAGCAGCTCCAACAAAAGATCAGCTCGGCAGAAAAAGACAACAAAAGGGAGGCCATCGCTAGTAGGTTGGAGGCCATCGCTATTGTCTTGGAGGCCATCGCTATTAGGTTCCTTTTACAAACCGAGTAATCCGGGTAAGAAACCGAGACGAGAGAAGCGACATACCGAGACGACACAGAATCGGTTGACCCATTCGGTCGACCGAAAGAAAGGACTCATGGATCACATCAACGAAGTGCCCCGCTTTTTTTCGCGGTGTGCGCGAAGGAAGAGAAGAAGAAGCTCTACAGGTCAACGTTGAGATTTTTGTTTCAGAATCCAGAATCCAGACCAAATGATACTGATATAGGGTTTTGTGTCTTTTTCAATTCAAAGGCACTTTTGCATTATGCTTCCACATCCACGCTCAAGGGTGTGTTCAATCACTATCTCTGAATTCTCTCACCCGTGAACTATGCTGAACTATGCTATGAACTCGCGCAAGACAACAAAACTACGACGTCTGGGAAGTGGCAATGTTTCGGGACAAAAGCTTTGGTTCTCTCTCTCCGTTCCCAGCCTCGTGGAGCCTGACATGAGCGGGGGGTGCGTTTCACACTGCAAGTGTGGATATCTGGCGGGATCTTGCTTGGTGGGTTTGCAGATCTGGTTGGAAGGAACTGCTCCACTTTCCCAACTTGCACGTGGTTGAGCGCAACAGATGTTCCTGCGGTCCTCGCACAAGGCTTCTTCTTCTCAGCTATGCTGGCCCAGTGCTTTGCACTTCAAGACATTCGCACAAAGCTGGAGCGCGGCCGGATATCAAAATGTGGTACCCAATTTTCGTGTCCCGCGGAGGAAAAGCGCAAGAGCGGTACAACCCAGAAGCCATGATGGCTGATTCAGATCAAATCAAATCACTCTCTTCGGATATGACACACAAAATCATCATCAAACAATATCAAACATCGTCAACCATCATTGCAGATTTGTTGTTGTTCTTGTCGTCAAATCATGAACACAACGTTCCATGCCACTTCTTCCTGGGATGCACCCCTCGTGCACAGTTGCCGGCGAAAGCCAAGGCTTAAAGACAAGGCTGCATGCTGGCCAGTCACCGTGGGGTGTTCGCCTAAAGTTAACTACCAGGCAAATTGCGATGCTCATATGTCTCCCAATCAGCAATCCGGCAAAACTTCAAGGTATAATATCTGCCTGTGCTTGTAAGGTTTTTTATCTTCAATGGTGCTGTTTTGGTTCTCCCATCGAAACTGCAATTTGCCAAGTCCAAGTTCAACCCTCAATCTCTTGGAGATTGGAGTAGAACCCCATGTTCTCCGGCGCTCTAGACTCTATGCATTAAAAAAGAAATAAATGGAGACAAAGGTGACTCAGGAGACAAAGGGTCACGTTGCACTCTCTATCTCCGGTCTCTCGATCGACCAATCCATCCGCCACAGTCGTGTGACGACATGGCCTGGCCGCTGGCTTTCAGCGCGACACCTGGCTTGGCAGGTCACTTCGACCGAAGGTGTGAATATCGAGACACCCTAAACCCAGGTTGGAGTCTATTTGACAGTCTGTGACTTGTCCTCTAGCAAGAAAAGGGGTCCGGTCTAGCTGAAGGGTTCTCCATTCAAAACACTCAATTTCGATTCACAGTCTGTAAACAAACAGTTCTTGAGTCTCCATAGTTAACAGCAAAATCGATTCGAAGAACTTTATACTCGGACTCAGCTCGGACCATGATGACCTCCATGGCTCTAGGGTTCCACCGACACGGCGCCCGGATCGGCGCCTTTCCCGGACGGATGCGGGGTCCCGGTCGGCGGCCGAGGAACGCGTCTCCCTCCACGCCACACGTCCATCTGCGTCGCGAATGGCTGTGGCCGCGGAGATCCGGGGGCCGCTGGCCTGGCGCTCCGGCTCCGCTCGTCTTATGCCGCATAGTCGGAGTAGCCGTAGCCGTAGCCGCCGTAGGGACCCTTGGGATCGCCTGGGGAAACCCGGAGGAAAACCCGGTTGGGGTGAGGGGTGATGGGTCGGGTTCGCATCGGTCCGGAAACTCATCAGAACATCCGAGTCTGAGTGAGTCCACGAGTCCTCATCGGTTGGAAACCGTTTTGGAAGACTTCACGGATGCTTTTGGGGGATCGGTGATGGGGAAACAAGCAGAATGTGACCCCAGTCATCCACCAAGTGCCAATCGCAAACAGATTCAACATGATTTATCTTTAGATTTATTCAATACATGTCTGATCAACCTGAAAAAACGAGACCTCCATCTCATCCCAACAATTTCTGCCAAGCTTCCAGCAAAGCTGAGTGTGAGTGCAAGATCACTCAGCGTCACTCCCGAGGAGAGCAAACTTGCGTCGACCGCCGCCTACGCCCAAGCGACGAAACGACGAAAACCGCGTCATGCCTGGGTGTTCGGACAGAACGGTGGGGCAGTTCGTTGGATTCCAGGAACGTTGTTATGGACAAAGAAATATATGGATGATATTATGGATTTGGAAGTGCTCTTATTGTGGAATAGTAATGATCTTGCTGGGTTGCAAATAGGGAACATCATGCGAGGAATCATTAAACAAAAAGTATGACAAAAGATGACAAAAGTCTGAATCACCATGTACATGTCCATTGACAAATCATAGAGCGTTTACGTGAACAAGCCCAGAGTCAGCTTGGGATCAACATGTTATAAACATCTTGCAAAGCCCATATGTATCTCACAGAGATTTAATGAGATTTACCCCCATGTCAAACCCCGCAATCACTTGCCACTTACCCATACCATCTCGCCTGATAATCTTCCAGTGGAGTTGAGTAAAGGGACGCAGTCATTTCGGTGGAATTCATCGTTGCCAAGTCGGTGAGATAAACTCTGGCATAGACAAAGCCAAGCCAGCCTAAGTCCTGGGCTTGCTGAAAAGTCGACATGTCACTTCCATCTCCTCTGCTTCAAAAGGGAGATAATTAGTCTATTGTTTGTTGTTTTACCAGGTCCAGTTCCACTGTCATGTTTCTTAGAGTGCATATTCAACTGTACACAGGCTCAAGTGGAAACTTGTTTAACAGGGAACGTGCTGTGAACATGGCTGTAAGGGATTAGCTTGGATGCGGCATAGAAACGATATGAACCATATATATATATATTATGAAACCAATATCGTACACTGAACCCGCATCAGCTTTGGACATCAGAGTGATCACGGCCGTGTGAAAAGAGTTTCTTCCAGGACCTCTTTTACTGACCGAACGTGAGATCCCAGAGTTGAGGTCACAAACTCTTCTAATTAGTCTAAAAAGGACGGTCACAAACAAAGAGTCAAGTCGGCTGTTTTCGGCAGAACTGGAGTCTCGTCTGCTCCCTCCGTGTTCGGTACCAAGGATTCGACGTCTACCATGTCACCGACTCTAAGTCTCATAGACTCTAATAAAGCATTGATGTCACCATCTACCTCCACATGGCCATCGATGTCTGTTGATCCTTTCGAACCATTTCAACACGGTGTCGGTCAAATGTTGCAGGCCCAAGAGTCCACGGTCACGGTGTTCACATCGATGGCTTCGGTGTGACCGGCATATTGAGCAAAGGCTTCACGGAAGGCCAAACGAGCGGCTTCTTTGTTGGCATTCCTTTCGGAAGCTTTTTGATCTACACGAAAAACATCGAAAAACACCATACCAAACATGGCCTAACCATCCTGGGGGAGCTTGTTGGTTGTCATGATTCCACGTTCTTGTTACTTTTCTCTTGACTTCAATGGGTACAACAAGGCCGTAAACATGTATCAAATTAAAGAACACACAGCTGACTGAAGTTCTTGCAAAATGCATCACGTCCGGTGAAGAGTAGTCATACATCATCAGCGCATAGATGATCTCTGTATTGAAGCCTGGACAAAAATGCTGATCGTTCCAGGTGAGACATCGTGACCTACTGAGCTGATCGCAGCTTTTGCCAAAGGGTTCTGGACAGCCAGAGCGCTGGGAGTTGTCGCTTGAACATCCACATGTGATGGGGCAAAAGAACTCAAGCGTCTTGAACTCCCAAGTGAATCTGTTGTCCCAACTGAAGCATCCGCCCAAGGAGATGTTCTGCGCACTCAGGTTGGACAAAAAGCCACAGCCATTGTCCTCCATGGCCTGTGCCAAGAGGAGGGCATCAGACTTTCCACTTAAGAGATCCGAGGCCGATTCGCCATAGGATCGGATAGTCTTGATCCACTCTTTCCAAGATCCCAACTCTCGGAGCGTGGAGGCATTTCGGTCCAAGCACAAACCACCTGAGGCGAGCCAGCGAGGCGTATCGCAGGCGCATCGCAGCGAAGCCCCGAAGCCGGCAGGCACCTTTTGGAACATGTCTACGAATTGCACGTGTAGCAGGGAGTAGGGCATAGTCACGGTCTACACATGTATATACAATATGTATCAATATGTCTATTGCAATTCGATCTCACGTTCCTTTAGTAATTTTGAGTTGACTGTTTCTTCGAATCCCACGGCATGATATTGATAGACAAAGCTTCGTGATCCGGGATCAGTGCAGGGTCAAAACCAAACTAGTTACCAAAACTTTGATCTCCGCAGCATCCGCCCTTTTCGCAGTGTTTCTGCAGAAGTCACCTGCGACGAGCCTGCGGACGACTTCTGCCAAACATCTTCATCCCCTTCCACAACGCCCAAAACACCAGCGATCCCAAAACACCAGCAGTGAGAGGCTTCGACCCCTCAACTTCGACCCCTCCCCTCCGCCCGGATTCGCGTCGCACCGTCCCAAACTGGAACCTCGTCCTCCGAAACGGCAGGCGTCCCGAAACGGTCGTCACGAACCGGTCCTGAACGGTGGAAGCCGAGGAGCTTTCTTTGTGTTCCTGAAAGGGAACCGAGGCCTTGCACTCTCCGTCGTTGTAGGGACAACCTTGGACCTTGGCACAAGGAAAACTGGCAAAGGGTGGGTGGGTGGAATCGGTCAAGTAAGAAGGGCAGGGCTTTCGGGTGTCACATTGCGTTCACATCGGTTTCATCGGGTCTTTTTTCCAAAGAGACATCTGATTCTAAAAGAAGGACAAAATTCGGTGGCGTCGCATCGGTTGATCGACACCACACTTCGAGCCCTACCCCACCCTTCTCCGTCGACAAAGCCGGTCGAGGTACGTTGATGAAGTCTCCTCCGGGGTTCTGGCAGCCGCAGCTTTCAGAGCACAACATCCGCGTGGACCATCCGACTCCTCAGGCCGTCCACATTGGACCGGCGGTCATGATGGGGTCTCGTTTCTGGCGCGAGCTGACTGGGGGAGACAGGCCGAGCTCCAACCGTTCAAGCTGCAGCTGTTTGGAGGTTTAAGGAGGTTGAAGCTGACCCCAAAGATCTTAGGTTTCTTTCCAATGACATGCCCCGCAAAAATGGGTCAACACAAAAGAAACAGTGCAGACACGCGTAGGGTGGTGAAGAACGAATGTGCCGGTGACATGGCGGCGGGTGCCTGGTGAAAACTCTATGGGTGCTTTGCCACGTGACCACCATCCAGGGCAAACTCGGGCATCTTGGTGATAGAGCTGCAGTGCATGGTGACATCCGCGCACGACTGAATGCTCTCGTTGCCCAGCATGTATCCTGAAAGATGCAAAGCCTTTACCTTCAACGTTGCAGTTTCATTCATGGCGTGCACGCAAAAAAGTTTTACATTGTTTGACATGCACACGTGTTTTTGGCGTGTCTTTTTAGGTAACACGGTGTACACGTCAAAGCCTCCACGTCTGGCTCATCATCTCAAACATTTATCATGCATATCATCTCTCCAGCTTCCCTCCCTTCCCTCCTACATCCTCCTACCCTCCTACATCCTCCTACCCTCCTCCCTTCCGGATTCGCCAAGCGTCTCAAATAGTTCAACAAGGGCTCTTGATTTCCCAGATCTCCACAAGCGACGTTTCCTTCTTCGATCAAATCATCCAGGTCTGCGGCCTCCAAGTCGCTGAGCACCGTCACATCACTCACCCAGACACCAAAGCGGGTTTCATTCATGGACAAGCCGTATCCTGAGTAGGCTGGATGCGGAGGGCATCGGAGGGCGTTTCTTTTTGAAGTGTTTTGACGTGCTTCTTTTGCGTTCGTCTTTTTTGCCCGGAAAAAAAGGTCGCGGTTTAACCTGTAAGGTACGAATTTATTTGTTTTTTTTGGTTAGAAGTTAAGGATCATTAGGAAATGTCCTTTATTGATTCACCAAAACGATGGACTTCAGGGCCCAAGAGTATTACGCATGGTCTCGGAACCGTCAAGTCTCCAATGGTCTCACCCTCGACAATGGCATCCGTCCTGAGTTACACCGAGCGATGCTGGCTGCCCACGCAGCACATGTGAGGCTTCAGAACTTCAGATTGCGGTTGATCCACAAGCAACGTTTTTGATAGAAACACCTATTGATACTTTGGAGAACAGTACTGTACTAGTATTGATATATTATCTATGTCGTCGGATTCTAGTTCTTAATGCGCATAGTAAATCTTAAACTAAAGCATGGATGTATAATTAAACAGCTTATATTTTATCTCGTCTGGTTTCAAAGGCAAAAGGCTAAACTCCTTCTCACTAAGATGGAAGTGGAAGGCACACAATAAAGCATGTGTAGAGGAACATCAGCTTGCCAAGGGCAAGGGTCCACTTCCATGTTAATGAGTCAGAGGTTAAATGGCTCTGCCATCGCCATCTCTTGCCCAAGCTTCTTGATGCTGTCCTCTTCCTCTTCCCAGCCACCACCGAAGGTCGGTGACAAGTGGGTGATCCTGCGTTTGTCCGTGCTCCACACGAAGTTCTGATTTCCACCGCACATGGCGCTCTTGACCTGGGTCAAGGTTCCAACAAAGGGCTCGAGCATGAAGTAGTACACCAAGATGGTGAGCCCAGGAATGAAGACACTCATGAAGACTGATTTGGCATCAGCACCCCTCACTCGAGGCATGGATGGCATGTGCAAAGGGTCCAGTTGATGAACCAAATGTCGACCTGGTGTTGTAGCCAAGGCATCGAAGAGTAAATCATCGATATCCAAGATGATGCCCAGAGCCACAGCATTGAGGATTAACTCGGTCACATTCACCGTGTAGACCAAGAATGTGGTCCCCACAATGACCAAGAGCGTGGCTGCCAGTAAACCTTGGATTTGCTTCTTAGGAACCTGGAAAAAGAAGTAACACATATTCCTCAGCAGGGGATTTCAAAATAACATATATTACGCTATACAAATTTAAGCTACATTAGGACAACAAAAAATCTATTCCTCAGAAGGGGATTTAACTAAAGGGAACATAACAAACATTGCCATTCCTTCCGCCCAAACCCAGGAAACGGTAAAGGAGGAGGAAACCACTGAAGAGTTTCCGACTCATCGATACCGCCCTCAAGCGATAGTGCGTGACCTCGAAGCTCGGTCACGGTCGGGCTTTTGGTTCGCTCGGTGTCAAGAGTTGAGCAAAGAATATACCTTACCATAGTTGGGTGGTACCGTCCACCACCTACCCAAATAGTTTAAGAATTATTTTGAGATGGGTACACCCACCTATTATTTATTTCTGAAAGTCCGGACTGCCTAAAATAATATTCCTTGATTTTCAAGGATCTTGCTAACATCATACAACTTGGAAAATGAAAGCGTCAAGAGCAAGTCATTCCACACTCAACCACTAGCAAAGTAATTTGCCAAGTTCTTTTCTGCTGTCATCTGCTGTCTTTCTGCTTTCTCATTAGCGGCCTACGTGAAACCATGGCGTGCCAGACTCCATTTCATGGCGCCTATCACAAGGCCATCCTTCTAAGTGATGAACTGAATTACTGGGAAAATCTCCTGCAGGTGGTTGACTGCTTGCTCCACCACCCAAATAAAATCTGACGCACAAGCACAAAATATCAAAAACTGCACCCTTCTCCAAATCTGAGACTCAAAAATATGTTGCAATAATTTCCTAATTATTTTTGGGTACTTTGACTCTCGACGTGAAAATTAGTTTGATCCCCACCACCACTCCCTGCTTGAAATAATATCCATGTGTAAATTATTTTGAAACAGTTATTTCAGTACAGTACTGCCACCTATGAAATACTTTTTCATGGCAAGGTATATAGCAAAGACATGCAAAGACCTCAAAAAACGATCAGAAACCTCAGCTCGAATGATGCAAACACTACCAAAAAGCATCGAATGATCCATGATGCAATCTCCAAAACGGAAGTTTCGGACCAACTCAACTCAACACAATGACTATCATTAACTGCACCGACTGTTCCAGGGACGGCCTTCTTTCTACCACTCACCAAGCATTCACCGACGCTGTGGTACCCCACCACACCCCTCTACCCCCCCTCAAAACACCGAACCCTGCCAGCGAACCGTGCACGCTTCGACGCGCGCGGACGAACGGGATCGCCGTTCGAACGGAACGTCCACCGTCCCTGCCGCCCGCCTGCGTAAAGGGATTCTCTCGTGTGTCCAGCTTGGTGGGGCCACGGCGCATGGCCATAATACCACGGTGCAACGCCAAGGCGTGGCTCACCTCACCGAGAGGAGTCGAGCGCGTCGAGCGCGGAATTGGAGACGAGAGAGAATATGAGTGGTGCGGTATACGGCTTTGGTTTCGGCAACGACTGCAGGATGGCCATGGTCTTTTTTAAATGGGCGGGGGCCATGGTGTGTATTTTCACCTCACCATCCAATAAAATATGATAACGAACCGCAACGGGCACTCTCTATCGAAACGTCATGCCCGAGAAGCCCTAGAAGAGCTGTGTTTCTGGCCGAAGTACTTGGAACGACCAAGAACTTACGATGACGAATTATCTGGTTGCACCTGCATTGCTTCTTGAATCAAGAAAGCTATTTTCCACTCTGCTGGCCTCCTTGGCCACCATCAAATACCAACAAATCAGCGCCACAATGCACAGAATCTGTCCCGTGAAGAAACCTTCCAATCCCTCAGCTTCCAATTTCAGGTACTTGTTGATGTTCCTGAGTCATGGGCGGCTCAAAAGCTATACTCATTATGCACGGCTTAAAGGTGAACATATCCTGTGGTCATGTATGCCAAGATAATTTGACAAACCTACCGAAGACGCTGGCTGGAAAGCTCCATACATAGTCTCAGCAGTATATCGTGGACACGAGATCCGGATGTGTTCAAACAGGCCGATCCGTCCACCACGGTCACCGTGTCGCATCGTGGTCCAACAAAAAGAAACGGCTCCGGTTTGAAGCCGACCACTGGCCAAGTCGGGGTACACAAAGAGCTGAAGAGCTATGATGGAACAATCAATGAGATCTAGTGAGATCCTATGAGATCCTTCTACAGTGGTTTCAGAGTGGATGGCACAAGGGCCCCCAAGTTTGGTGGTTTATATGGACCCCGATCTAAGGACACCTTGGGGTCTGTGCCATCTACTCTGAAACCGCTGGTTCAGTCTATTCCAACACATTCAATCAACGGCTTGTGGCTTACGCTCCGCTTGCGCTCCGCTTTACGCCAACTTCTGAAGTCACGGGGGAGTCATGTTTCACGCTGGCCAACGGGTTGCAACATCAGCCGATCTCGTGGGCTATTGAAGATCCTGTTTTGACTGTCCTGTCAGACCCACTGAATTGAAACAAAAGGGCTTGACAGTCCTGTCCAGGACTGAAGGTGAAAACAACTTCAGTTGCAAAACAAAATGGCTTCTGTCCTGGACACCTGCCCTATATTTTTCAAGAATGCCAAGCGGCTCGTGGTTTAAGGGTGTTTAAGGATCCTCCCCTTCAAAACCACCAAACCCAAAAAGGCACCCCATACCCTTCAAGAAAACGGCGACATCGACCTCGCTCTTTTGCTTCCAGACGTCTGAAGTAAACCAACTTGCAGCCCGGAGGATGCCAAGGACTTGTCTTCCTTGCACACTCGATGCACCAACGACTCCTTGGCTTCCGTACTGTAGTCACCAAAAGAATGCCCGGAGGATCTCCTCCACCTGACAGACAGCTCGAGTCGCCTTCTTCAGACGGCGTTTTATCTGTTTGTTGGAACAAAGCACCCGCTGCCGAACCGCGGTGTGGTGTCCACCCACCACGCCCTGGTGCTGGGTGAGTCGGTGCTTTTCCGGGTGGTTAAGGGTGGCCTTGCCATGATCTTCTCCAACCCGATTCACCCGGAGGTCCCTCCCATCTCCCGAATTCGGACGGTGAAGCGCGGGTACCCGTCCCGCACGGAGTCGCACGCGCCGGTCGAGATGCCGGTCGGTTGGCGCCCAACGACCGGGTGGGGGGTCGACCGACACGTCCGAGAGAGGTTGGGGGGGGGGGCACTGCACTGAGGGGCGCGGCAAGAGGGCATGTGCCTCTTGAGAAAGATTCAGCAACGAGGCCACTCACAGGATGAGGCAAAATGAAAAAAAACGTATTCGATGTTAGTGACTGTCATCTGAGATTTGATTGATAGACTTCAGGCTCCATGTGTGAACCAATCCAGAATCTTCCACTATACTATATGTGTGTGCTAGCTCTCAAATCTGTTTGCCTTTTCCAGCATGATCCCGCTTGTGTCATCCCACATGTGTCACCCCAAACAACGACGCCAAATACGCATGCGCAAAACGCAAAACACAACCCACCCATCACACACAAAAAACTGCAACACCTCACAAACGCGCGCACAAACACACCTCATAACGCGCGCGTGTGTCGCGTCGCGTACAACCCTTCAACCCACACCTGAGAGTGTCAACAATGGAGCTGTCATTGATGTCCGGCGTGGTGAAGTTGTAATACGCAATGGCCACGAAGACCACCTGCATCAGCACATTCACGATGGCCAAGAGGACCGTTTGAAAGGAGCCAAAGGGCCCCAAGGCACCGGTACCGATGAAGATGACCAAGTCCCAAGTGGATTCACCAAAGGTGTAATACTCAGTGGTCTGAGTATCCAAGGTCTTCTCATCCATTTCCTTCACCTTGGATCGTGAGATTTCCGTGATCTTCTTCACATCCCGGCGCTGTCCCTTCAGGGACATAGCAGTGGACATAGCGGTCAGGTCACTGACATTACGATCCACACCTTGGATTTGCAGCCCGGAAAGAAAAACACACACACATATTCCGCCCCATGCCAGGGGATTTACCAATTTAGGGAAATGTTTAAAGTCACCTGATCCGCAAAACCAAGACACCCACTTTCACATTGGTGTTGTTCTCCAGTTCTTCACCATTGACTTCATCATCCGGTGGCACGATGCGTTGAGGGGAGACATCTTCGGGACCCCACTTGGGACCAATCGGCGGGTCCGTCATCTGGTTCTTCAGAGCCTTCCATTTGGATCCGCCGGCCTCATTGAGTGGGCTCGAGTGAATCTTGAGCTTCTCTTCAAGCACATGGATACGTTCATGTAGCCTTGAACTTGCTTGGTTCTCAGGAACCGGGACAAGAATCACCAGTAAAACACACCTAAAACAAACCATCTTCCCCATGCCAGTGGATTCTCTCAGGCCACCCAAGAAAATCAGGTAGTTCAAACAAATAAAGCATATTATCGCAAAAAAAAACACCAACACCAGGTAGCTGCGGCACCAAGGATGCCAAAATTATGGTTTCCTCGAGCTCTTCGAAGCGTTCATCGAGCGCACTTAAGATGTCGGACTCCTGCGGTTGGAAGGTGCTCTGACGTTGGAACATGCTGCCTTGGATTCGCGGCTCCCAGGAGCCTGGAGAAAAAAGGCTCCAAATAGGAAACCAGATTCCTCCTTTACCCTATTTAGGAAACCAAAAAACAAAAAACTCAGCTGATCTGCAAAACCAGGCTGCCCTTGGCACTACTCTTCGCTTTCATGGCTGGATGCTGAGTTCTAGCGCTCAGAACTTGGAGGAGAGGCGCAAGAAATGGCGAGGCGCGGCAGGCGCGGGCGAAAGGGCGCTGGCGCTGGCTGGCTTTTTGGCTGGGCCGAGCTGATAGGAAGCTCCAAAAAGCTGCAAATGGAAGTGGCACGTTTATCACGGTATCACCTTATCACACAGAAATGACTTACATTCAGTTACTTGGTTACAGGATGTTACAGGGGTTATTTTGGAATGCTACATTGGCTGCTACATCTCAAGTCAGTGACACAGTTTGCCAGTCGAAGCCTTCATCGAGAGCGTGCTGTCAACTCTTGCAGAGCTAGACAAGACAAGAGACTTGGACGCTCTGTTTGACCTGGGCCATGTCTGGAAAATGGTCAATCGCGTTGCCGGAGATTCATTCAAAAATGCTTTCTCAGTGAACGAGTTGCGACAGCGGCTGGACACTGAAGGCAGGTAGACTGAGAGCCATCTGTAGGGATCAAAAGCAGATCTATAGGATCTCTGCAGATATATGAGAATTTCTGGGAAGCACTCTGCCGCTGCCTTTGGTGTCATGCAAGAACCTCCACGGCAGAAATCTATGGCCTTCGCTTCACAACTCACGTCCTGCGGCCTTGGGCCTGCAGCTTACCACAAAATCCAAGACAAACACCAAACAATCTCTTTTCATGCGCCTTTCAATTTCAGCCCTTTGGATCAACACCTACTTAATTAAATAAATATAGTTCGTGTACTAACATGATGTTTGGGAGCATGCCAGCCTCGCAACGTGCGACGCATGATCGATGTCATCCTCCCTTGCGAGCGAGTTGAGACTCGGCCGGCCTAACGTATAAAACTGAAAACACTCGTTTCGTTCGGCACGGAAATCTCTTAGAGATTCCAAGTGCACGAGAAAGAAGGTGTGGCTGGGCCTAAACTTCTATATAATGCATGTGCATGATGTGTTCTTGAACTGCTTTCTTGCAATTCCTATGCATTTCCTGTGTATTTCATGTATATATGATTCAACATGATTCAACCAAATGCCTTCTCCGTAACATCACCATGTTTTCAGATCACTCTCCTCCCTCAGTCTACTAACATCCTCACTACTCCTCCACCCTCACCGTTGTGTCCAGTGGAATTCGCTCTTCGCAATCGACCTGAGATCTCGGCCCGGTGACGGCTCCACCGACCTCCAGCTCTTCCACCCGTGGACGTCGGTCGATGCGTTGGTCGAGGACGAAAACGGCGAGAGGTCGGAGGATCAATCCCAACCCGCTCGGTTCATCTGGGAGCAAGCGCGCTGGTCACCCGGTCGTGCGAGGAAGCACGGGCTATAGGACTTAATAGGACATGCATTGTGTTGCTTTTCAATGGCAAAAATCTCTTTGGTTGGCCAGGTCTCTCGATTTTTGGGGGTCACAAAAACAGTACAAAACTCTCATTCGACTCATTCTCTTCATTGATGTTAAGGTGAATCGACTCTCTGCCAGGGCGCCTCTCTAGCATCTCTAGCCACAAGAAGCTCCTTGTGGCGTATTCTTTCTTCCAAAGCACTTGGAGAGGTCCAGCTAGATCTGGCTCGCTTGAGCAGGATCACCTTGTGCTCCGACCGAGAGACCGAGAGTAGGCAGGACTGGCGGAAGGAGTGACACTAAGTGTCACCAAGACCCCCCAATGGATGGATCGACACTCCAAAAAACCACCAATTATAGGTGGAAAATAGGCCCTTGGAAGACCATATGACATCCTCCACAAGTTTTCACAGCTGGTGCCATCCAGTTCCATAATATCATTTCAGGGAGTCCTACTCGAAATTGCATATATTTCTTCCGGGATGTTCCACCCGAGCGGAGGTTCCGTCCGAGTTTTCTACCTGGTGAATTGGCTGTTGACTTCGTGCTGACAAGTCTCCAGCAAATCTCACGATGAGCCCAAGCTGATTCCCCACTCCAGAGGACAAACGAGCATCAATTGCAGCCTGCCCCGCTGGAAAGGGAAGCAAATAGAATCTATGCCTACATTGAACCCATTGGCTAAGTACTTGCATGCATACAATTGCAGTATAAACATGCATGAAGACCAACAAAAATTGCTGAACTCTTCAAGCATGCTCTCCGATCGAAACCAACAAAAAACATCTATTTCATTATTTCACTGGCCCTGAACAAACACAGTGTCGCCTTGGGTCGCTTGGATCGCCTTGGGTCGGTCAATTCGCATGGCTCCTATAGCTGCACCGCTTCTGAAAGAGCTCACGGATCCCATGTCATGTGTGTGTGGGCACACAACAAACGAGCCGAAACCTGGCAGCCAGTGATGCTGGCGTTTTCACCCCGGAGTTGCCGCACGAAATCGAACTCGTGCGAGTCGTCGTGCGGGGAAATCGGGCTCGTCGCGTGGGCCGGGCTTCTGTTTCAAGACTCCAAACAGACGAGTCCGAGATGCCCTGCCTGGAAGTCTGGCAGTGGAATGGAGTACATCGAGGAAGCCATCTGGGTGAAATTCATGTTCAGGTCCGTCAAAAAGATCCGTGCGCGAGCCACACCACGTGCCAAAGGTACCAAACCTCCCTCCTGGCCGAAGTCATAGGGTTGAAAATCACAAGGTGAACACTTCACAGCAAGTGCTCCAAATGGGTTGTGTATTGTCTATATAGTGAGATTCCCTGGCCCTGGACCAAAGCTGATTTCGAGGTTCTCCCTATTCCAAAGTTCACACCCACATCCACCTAGGTGGGAACAAAATCACAAATCCAACTAAACTCAGTTCTTTGGAGCTTCTCCCTTTTTGGATCCTTTCTGACACCTCCACGACCTGTGTCTTTCTCCTATTCTTGTCCAAGCTTCCATGACCACGGTCCGTGGTTCAGTGGAAGCGATCTCCGCGAGGGCCGTTTGGAAGGACCGCGACACCGCCGCCGCGTTCGCGCTCCTCGGTCGCTCAGCTCGGAGCGAGGAGGACGGACGGAGGGACGACTGCGCTGAGAGGAAACTCCTGGAGCCAAAATGGAACAGATGATAACAGGTTCTTCAGCAAATTTTTTTTTGAGCTCTTCAATGTCTTCTTTCGGGATGGGAAGGGACGGTCTCTTTCTCGAACTTGGTGAACGTTCCAGGGGACGAAAGATCCGCATGACTGGACAAATCTGGACACATTTCTCAGCTTTTGATGGTTTTGTCGAAATGAGCCAGCAAAACGGCGTTGTTCGACAGGAGTCAGGGGGTGTTCGACTTCTATGTTGCGGCCAAAGAGACAGTTGAACGGGCCGTGTTTGACCCGAAAAAAAAGGGCAAACATATAAAAACGGATTGAAGTTCCAAGAGCAGCATACAGCACCTGTGGCGCAACCACATCATAGGAGATGAGAAATTCGATAACCTCTGCATTAAAGCCTGGACAGAAATGCTGCTCATCCATGGTCAAACAGTTGTCCAGCTCGTCGCAATTCTTGCCGAAGGGTTTGGGACAGCTGGTGTGATCAGAGGTTTCCTTTGCACATCCACATGTTAGGGGGCAAAAGAATTCCACTGTCTTGAACTCCCAGTCGAACTTGTTGCTCCATCTGAAGCACCCACCCAGCGACATGTTCTGCGAAGACAAGTGCGCCAGAAAGCCACAGCCATGGTCCTCCATGGCCTGTGCCAAGATGAGGGCCTCTTCTTGTTCTTCAAGAGCATCCGACTCAACTTCTCCATAGGATCTGATCGTCTTGATCCATGCTTTCCATGGGCCAAAGTTGCGAAGGGTCACAGCATCCTTCTCCAGACAGACCCCACCTCGGTGAAAAGAACGAACGGAGAAGGAAGGCAAGATGGCCATGGCCGGACGGAGATTGGCCATGGCCGGACGACTGTGAAAAAAGAACAACACTCCTATCATAGTGCTTTTGGATTCTCATAGTGTCAGTGCCATTGGCGCCTATCATAGTGTTTCTCCCTATGAATCCTTCACTTCATTTCTTCCCTATCATTCTAAATATTGTGCAGGTTTTGAAGAGCAAAGGAGCGAAACAATTCTTGTGCTTGTGGTTCTGTGGCTTGTGAGAATGGTGAAAGATGGTGTGAGAATGCTAACATATTCAAGAAAAAGGTTTGTTTCTTGCTGCATTTCAAGGAGCCTTCTTGATATTCCTCAAATGCATCAACGTGTCGACATTCTCCATCAAGATACGGACAGCCTTGTACATTGATGAATTCTCCACCAGGATTGTTGCAACCACATGTTTCCGTGCACAGCATCCGTGTGGACCACCCTTTACCTCGGCTCAAATGCTACGCTAAAACGCCCGCGTGGACCTCCACAGACCGATCGGAAGACCATACATGAAGCCTTTAGAATTCAACAAGCCGCAACAACCATGAGAATGCTGTTCGACCATGAGAATGCTGTAAGCAAGCTCTAGTCTGAAAATCCACCTCCACAATAACCAAAAGGGCGCCCCTGAACTAACAAAGACCCATCGTACCAGCTGGCAGGCAACTCAAATCCTGATACTGCCAAAACCATGCTGCCACCATCCACTGCAAACTCAGGCATTTTGGTGATGGAGCTGCAGTAGGACACAGCATCTGCGCAGGACTGAATACTCTCGTTGCCCAAGAAGTACCCTCAGGTCATTTATTTTCTTTTTGGTGTGTGTGTGTGTGTGTGTCAAGCTACGTAACATTCTTTCCTTCAAATCCCTGAAATCACACCACACGGCGCAGCTTCACCAAATCCAACACTGACAGGGACCCAAACAAAGGATAACAAAGGAGTAGTTTAAAAAACAAGGCTACGTCGTCGTTAGCGGCTGTGGGTATTTTGCACAGCTCTCGATCAATATGTTGGCTGGTAAAATGGAGAGATGGAACCATGTTCATTTCGGTCAGAAGTCACAAAGCTATGGATGGGCGAAAACCTCATGGATCACTGATCACGTCACTGAAACCCCGCAAACCACCCCTAAACGCCACCTGGTCACCGAAAGTTGACAAAAACGAGCGACAATCAGCAAAACGTAGCAAAATACCCACAGCCGCTAACAACGACGTGGCCAACACAAGTAAACAAATAAGAGAAAACACATGGCCAAAAAAACAACACAACAACACAACTCTCACTTCTTCAGTCTGTTCTTTCTTCTCGAT